ACTTAAAAGAGTAGATGCTCAGCAAACGTTTGTATTAGAAATTTGATTAATAATTACCTGCCGTAGTATCTGGGACAAAGCTGACCTTGAATAAATCCATGCATTCATTCATAAATGTATGAATGAATACATGAATTTTGCTTACTTCTGAAGTGTTCCAAGAGATTCTAGGCAACACATAAGTGAATTCCATTTATTAATTCATCCCACAAATATTTACTAAGCACCCAGTACATGTCATGTACTTGTCTAGAGGCTGGAGATAGAGTAGTGAACAAAAAAGACCTCCCCAAATCACCAACTTGGGAAATATTTACTCCCGAACTTCTAAAGCACTCTCTGCCTCTATCTTCTGGGATTAAAGGCATAAATGTAGCTTTCTTCTCGCAAAGACTATAGCAGCCAGGCACTTGTCCCAGCTCTTCCATCACTTGGCAATATGATCTTGGGAAAGAAAGACACTTAATTCTCAAAACTTCTGGAGGTGTATGGTCTTCATCCCTCAAATTCCTTAGACCTTTCAGTCTGTAAGTCTAGATAAATGTTTTTAATGAAATAGATCCCTTGAAATTCACTGGAAATTCTGTTTTTGAATGAAAATCTCTTAGAAAATTTAGCCATCATAACATACTATATGTAGAGTAGAATACCAAAAACAAAAACAAAAACGAAAAACTCCTCCAAAGGTTGGATGAGCTGCATCTGGGCAGCTCTTCAGGGAGGCTCAAGCCTGGGGAGAAAGGAGACTTTATTTTTTTTTCTTTAATGTTTTTTATTGTTATGTTCATCACCATACATTACATCATTAGTTTTTGATGTAGTGTTCCATGATTCATTGTTTGTGCATAATACCCAGTGCTCCACGCAGAACGTGCCTTCTTTAATACCCATCACCAGGCTAACCCATCCCCCACCCCCTCCCCTCTAGAACCCTCAGTTTGTTTTTCAGAGTCCATCATCTCTCATGGTTCGTCTCCCCCTCTGACTTACTCCCTTCATTCTTCTCCTCCTGCTATCTTCTTCTTTGTTTTTCTCTTCACATATATTGCATTATTTGTTTCAGAGGTACAGATCTGTGATTCAACAGTCTTGCACAATTCACAGCACTCACCATAGCACATACCCTCCCCAATGTCTATCACCCAGCCACCCCATCCCTCCCACCCCCCACCACTCCAGCAACCCTCAGTTTGTTTCCTGAGATTAAGAATTCCTCATATCAGTGAGGTCATATGATACATGTCTTGCTCTGATTGACTTATTTCACTCAGCATAACACCCTCCAGTTCCATCCATGTCGTTGCAAATGGCAAGATCTCATTCCTTTTGATGGCTGCATAATATTCCATTGTGTATATATACCACCTCTACTTTATCCATTCATCTGTTGATGGACATCTTGGTTCTTTCCACAGTTTGGCTATTGTGGACATTGCTGCTATAAATATTGGGGTGCACGTACCCCTTCGGATCCCTACATTTGCATCTCTGTGGTAAATACCCAGTAGTGCAATTGCTGGATCGTATGGCAGCTCTATTTTCAACTGTTTCAGGAACCTCCATACTGTTTTCCAGAGTGGTTGCACCAGCTTGCATTCCCACCAACAGTGTAGGAGGGTTCCCCTTTCTCCAAATCCCCGCCAACATGTGTCGTTTCCTGACTTGTTAATTTTAGCCCATTCTGACTGGTGTGAGGTGGTATCTCATTGAGGTGTTGATTTGGATTTCCCTGATGCCGAGAGATCTTGAGCACTTTTTCATGTGTCTGTCGGCCATTTGGCTGTCTTCTTTGGAAAAATGTCTGTTCATGTCTTCTGCCCATTTCTTGATTGGATTATTTGTTCTTTGGGTGTTGAGTTTGATAAGTTCTTTATAGATTTAGGATACTGGCTCTTTATCTGATATGTCATTTGCAAATATTTTCTCCCATTCTGTCGGTTGTCTTTTGGTTTTGTTGACTGTCTTTTGCTGTGCAAAAGCTTTTTGTCTTGATGAAATCCCAATAGTTCATTTTTGCCCTGGCTTCCCCTGCCTTTGGCGATGTTTCTAGGAAGAAGTTGCTGCAGCTGAGGTCAAAGAGGTTGCTGCCTGTGTTCTCCTTTAGGATTTTGATGGACTCCTGACTCACGTTTAGGTCTTTCAACCATTTGGAGTCTATTTTTGTGTGTGATGTAAGGAAATGGTCCAGTTTCATTCTTCTGCATGTGGCTGTCCAATTTTCCCAACACCATTTGTTGAAGAGACTGTCTTTTTTCCACTGGACATTCTTTCCTGCTTTGTCAAAGATGAGTTGACCATAGAGTTGAGGGTCCATTTCTGGGCTCTCTATTCTGTTCCATTGATCTGTGTGTCTGTTTTTGTGCCAGTACCATACTGTCTTGATGATGACAGCTTTGTAATAGAGCTGGAAGTCCGGAATTGTGATGCCGCCAGCTTTGCTTTGCTTTTTCAAGATTCCTCTGGCTATTCGGGGTCTTTTTTGGTTCCATACAAATTTTAGGATTATTTGTTCCATTTCTTTGAAAAAAGTGGATGGTATTTTGATGGGGATTGCATTGAATGTGTAGATTGCTCTAGGTAGCATTGACATCTTCACAATGTTGATTCTCCCAATCCATGAGCATGGAACGTTTTTCCATTTCTTTGTGTCTTCTTCAATTTCTTTCATGAGTATTTTATAGTTTTCTGAGTACAGATCCTTTGCCTCTTTGGTTCGATTTATTCCTAGGTATCTTATGGTTTTGGGTGCCATTGTAAATGGGATCGACTCCTTAATTTGTCTCTCTTCTGTCTTGTTGTTGGTGTATAGGAATGCCACTGATTTCTGTGCATTGATTTTATATCCTGACAGTTTCCTGAATTCCTGTATGAGTTCTAGCAGTTTTGGGGTGGAGTCTTTTGGGTTTTCCACATAAAGTATCATATCATCTGCAAAGAGTGAGAGTTTGACTTCCTCTTTTCCGATTTGGATGCCTTTGATTTCTTTTTGTTGTCTGATTGCTGTGGCTAGGACTTCTAATACTATGTTGAATAGCGGTGGTGAGAGTGGACATCCCTGCCGCGTTCCTGACCTTAGGGGGAAAGCTCTCAGCTTTTCCCCATTGAGAATGATATTCGCTGTAGGTTTTTCATTGATGGCTTTAATGATATTGAGGTATGTACCTTCTATCCCTATACTCTGAAGAGTTTTGATCAAGAAAGGTTGTTGTACTTTGTCAAATGTTTTTTCTGCATCTATTGAGAGGATCATATGGTTCTTGTTCTTTCTTTTGTTAATGTATTGTATCACGTTGATTGATTTGCGGATGTTGAACCAACCTTGCAGCCCAGGGATAAATCCCACTTGATCATGGTGAATAATCCTTTTAATGTACTGTTGGATCCTATTGGCTAGTATTTTGGTGAGAATTTTTGCATCCATGGTCATCAAGGATATTGGTCTGTAATTCTCCTTTTTGATGGGGTCTTTGTCTGGTTTGGGGATCAAGGTAATGGTGGCCTCATAAAATGAGTTTGGAAGTTCTCCTTCCATTTCCATTTTTTGGAACAGTTTCAGGAGAATAGGTATTAATTCTTCTTTAAATGTTTCGTAGAATTCCCCTGGAAAGCCATCTGGCCCTGGGCTTTTGTTTGTTGGGAGATTTTTGATGACTGCTTCAATTTCCTTAGTGGTTATAGGCCTATTCAGGTTTTCTATTTCTTCCCGGTTCAGTTTTGGTAGTTGATACATCTCTAGGAATGCATCCATTTCTTCCAGGTTATCCAATTTGCTGACATAGAGTTGCTAATAGTATGTTCTTGTAATTGTTTGTATTTCTTTGGTGTTGGTTGTGATGTCTCCTCTTTCATTCATGATTTTGTTGATTTGGGTCATTTCTCTTTTCTTTTTGATAAGTCTGGCCAGGGGTTTATCAATCTTGTTAATTCTTTCCGAGAACCAGCTCCTAGTTTCGTTGATCTGTTCTACTGTTCCTCTGGTTTCTATTTCATTGATTTCTGCTCTGATCTTTATTATTTCTCTTCTCCTGCTGGGTTTAGGCTTTATTTGCTGTTCTTTCTCCAGCTCATTTAGGTGTAGGGTTAGGTTGTGTATTTGAGACCTTTCTTGTTTCTTGAGAAAGGCTTGTATTGCTACATACTTTCCTCTTAGGACTGCCTTTGCTGTATCCCAAAGATTTTGAACAGTTGTGTTTTCATTTTCATTGGTTTCCATGAATTTTTTAAATTCTTCTTTAATTTCCTGGTTGACCCATTCGTTCTTTAGTAGGATGGTCTTTAGCCTCCATGTATTTGAGATCTTTCTGACTTTCCTCTTGTGATTGAGTTCTAGTTTCAAAGCATTGTGGTCTGAAAATATGCAGGGAATAATCCCAATCTTCTGGTACCGGTTGAGACCTGATTTGTGACCTAGGATGTGATCTATTCTGGAAAATGTTCCATGGGCACTAGAGAAGACTGTGTATTCTGTTGCTTTGGGTTGGAATGCTCTGAATATGTCTTTGAAGTTCACTTGGTCCAGTGTATCATTTAAAGTCTTTATTTCCTTGTTGATCTTTTGCTTAGAAGATCTGCCCATTTCAGTGAGTGGGGTGTTAAAGTCCCCCACTACTATTGTATTGTTGTCAATGTGTTTCTTTGCTTTTGTTATTAATTGCCTTATATAATTGGCTGCTCCCATGTTCGGGGCATAGATATTTACAATTGTTAGATCTTCTTGTTGTATAGACCCTTTAAGTAGGATATAGTGTCCTTCTTCATCTCTTATTATAGTCTTTGTTTTAAAATCTAATTTGTCTGATATAAGGATTGCCACCCCAGCTTTCTTTTGGTGTCCATTAGCATGTTAGATGGTTTTCCACCCCCTCACTTTCGATGTGGGGGTGTCTTTGGGTCTAAAATGAGTCTCTTGCAGACAGCATATCCATGGGTCTTGTTGAGATAGGAGACTTTAAAAGGTGCAACAGTGAAATGGCTATATGGTTTTCTATTTATGTCCCCAGGTCTGGAAGCAGAAGGAAGTGACACAGACGTCTTCATGGTGATTGGGATTCTGGGGGAGTCAGTCACTTTCCCCTTAAATATCAAAAAATCACAGCAGGTTGTCAACATTGTTTGGAACTCTGAAACATCTGTTGCTTTTGTAACGCCAGGAGACTCAGGAACAGCACCCAAAGTTACTGTGACCCACCAAAATTATAATGACCGAATAAATGTCTCATGTAAGAACTACAACCTGGAGATCAGTAATTTGAGGATGGAAGACTCAGGCATCTACAAAGCCGACATAAATACAAAGATCCTTGAAGGGATGATCACCACCACCAGGCGCTACAACCTTCAGGTCTTCCGTAAGTTGTGGGAGGGTAAAGGGCTTGTTTTGTTTTGCAAATTTTCTATCTATAGAACACCTGTATTTCTTTATTGGTTTCCCTAAATCTTTCTGTACTTATAAATCCTTATATAAATACACCAATACTAAAAAAGAGGATGTGGTTGTTTGGTTTTAGCTATGTAATCTTCTATCAACAAGTTGTCCCATGGACCTGGTTTTTCTTTTCTATAAAATGTGAATAATCAATCATATTCTTCACTTCCCTTGGTCACTGGGAAGATCAAGTGAGATAGTGTATGGAAAGCACATCTTTAAAAAAAAAAAGAAAACCTCTTTATTTTATTTTATTTTTTTTAAAGATTTTATTTATTTATTTGAGACAGAGAATGAGAGATAGAGAGCATGAGAGGGAAGAGGGTCAGAGGGAGAAGCAGACTCCCCGCTGAGCGGGGAGCCCGATGTGGGACTCGATCCAGGGACTCCAGGATCATGACCTGAGCCGAAGGCAGTCGCTTAACCAACTGAGCCACCCAGGCGCCAAAACCTCTTTATTTTAAAATAAGTGTAGCTGCTTAGAGAGGTGTAAAGAACCAGGCAGAGAGGGGCGCCTGCGCGGCTCAGTTGGTTACGTGTTTGCCTTCGGCTCAGGTCATGATCCTGGAGTCCCCGGATGGAGTCCGGCATCCAGCATCGGGCTCCTTGCTTAGTGGGGAATCTGCTTCTCCCTCTCCCTCTGCCCATCATCCTGCTCATGCTTTCTCTCTCTCACTCTCTCTCTCAAATACATAAATAAAATTAAAAAAAAAAAAAAAAGAACCGTGCAGGGAGGTTCTGTGTGCACATCGCCCAGTCCCCCTTGTACACAAGTTACATCTTGTGTAACTATAGGAAAGCAGGAATAGGAACAGTTGTACGGGCTCTCATTTATGTGTGAGTATATGTGTAGCTTGCACGTTTATTCACATGTGCGCCCTCATGTGATCACCACCGCGATCAAGATCCTGAAGTGTACCATTGCGGCAAGACTCCCTCAACCGTTCAGAGTCACGCATTCCCTCCCCAACTCCCGGAAGACCTTAATCCGTTCGTCATACCTATCATTATGTTATTTCACAAATGTCACATACATGGACTCATGCAGTATGCGTGTTTTTGAGGTTGGCTTTTTTTCATGCAGCATAATTTATTTGAGAGTCATCTTAATTATTGCCAGTATCAATAGTTTATATCTTTTTATGGCTGAATAGTATTCCATGGTGTAGATGGACTAGTCTGTTCAACCATACACCTATCAAAGGATATTTTAGTTCTTTCCAGTTTGGGATTATGACTAATAAAGCTGCTATGCACATTCATGTACAAGTTTCTGCATGAAATGACTTTTTCTTCTTCCAGATAAATGCCCAAGAATGAAACCATGGTAAATCCATTTCTCTTTTTTTTCTTTAAAAGATTTTTTTATTGTGATAAAATATACATAACACAACATTTAACACTTTAACCATTTTTTAAAAGATTTATTTATTTATTTTAGAGAAAGAGAATGCAAGCAGGGGGAGGGGTAGAAGGAGAGAGTGAGAGAAGCAGACTCCCCGCTGAGCGTGGAGCCCCAACAAGGGACTCGATCCCAGGACCCCGAGATCATGACCGAGGCCGAAATCAAGAGTCGGATGCTTCACCAACTGAGCCACCCAGGCGCCCCTGTTTTCATCTCTTTATATGTTCAGTGATACCCACTCAGTCTCTGGAAACTGTTATACCATCTGCAGGTGGGGCAGACCATGGGAAAGTCTCAGAGAAAGCCGGGTTGCCCACCTAACAAAATCTATACCTTTTGGAGAGTTAGTGGAGAAGATAGTGAGACAAGAACTGACATTTACTGAACTCTTTGTGTCTGGCATTCTAGCACCTAATTTTTTAAAAAATATATAGAGATCACACATATTTAGGCAATACATGCACAGAGTAAAAGCAATACAGTGCATTGCAACTCAACAGTGGTCACTGTTGCTGGCTTGTTTTGTCTTTCCTATAGATAATTAATGTGGCTAGATAGATGATAGATGATAGAAAGACAGATGGACAGATGGGCATTAGAGAGTTCTTTAAACACAATAACCCATTTAGTCCTCACAACAAACAACCTTAGCAGGAAAAAATTATCCTCGTGTTATAACTGATGGAGCTAAACCTCAGTGAAGCTGTGTGCATCCCCGTTCTAGAGAGCAGCAGAGCCTGGTCGGACCCAGGTCTCCAGTGGCTTCTCCACTCTCAGCCACAGCCCTGCCCTTCTCTGCCCAGCAGCCTGATGCAGGTAACGTCTCAGTCCCTGCTGAGAACAATGTGATAGGATCCGGTTCTTGACTACCATCCCCCACCTCGACACCCAGCAAAAAAGAGTTTCTCTAAGAATAAGTAAATATCAAGCAGAGAGTTGGACATTTTTGTAAATCCAGTTTCTAAAGAAATGCGCGCGCTCACACACACACACACATTTTCGCTCATTTTTTGCTATATACATCTGTATAGATCACTGTTATAGCTCATCGAGGTCACTCCAAACTTCTCTGGGAGTTTTTCACAAGTCATCACTAAATCTGGTCTGGAATAGATCCGTTGAAGAGACTCACAAGACCAGGGTTTCTGGTGCAGTTGGAATAAGAAATATTTACAGCTTCCTCCTTACCATATTCTACTTCCTCACAGGCACAGACAACTTTAAAAATACCACATGAACCAGAAAGCCACATGCTGGTTCCTTCTGAATCCTTCCCACATGGCTAGGGGAGAAGGAACAAAGCCTAGCACAGCAGCCTGGCCAAAAATGAACTAAATTTACCAACTCAGAATGTGGGCATTTTCTTATCTGCTGGTAAAGGGAAGATCTTCCCTTTCCTTCTGTCGGCCCCAGATAGCTCTTACTTCAACCTAAATATAATTGTTCTTCTGTAACCCTTTACTAGCCTACAACTTGGACAGTTTACCTTTTGATTGTTTCAGTAAAAATATTTTTTTAAATGAACTTTTAAAGAGATTTTAACTTTTCACCAAAGGCACTTTAGAACAACACAAAACAACTCAGTGAAAACACACCAGAAAACAGAGCCCCAAAAAATTTTTTTAAAGACTGTTTCAGGGCGCCTGGGTGGCTCAGTTGGTTAAGCGACTGCCTTCGGCTCAGGTCATGATCCTGGAGTCCCGGGATCGAGTCCCGCATCGGCCTCCCTGCTCAGCGGGGAGTCTGCTTCTCCCTCTGACCCTCCCCCCTCTCATGCTCTCTCTCTCTCTCTCTCATTCTCTCTCTCAAATAAATAAATAAAATCTTAAAAAAAAATAAAGACTGTTTCATGCAACGGTGTGCTGGTTCTTGATGGTGTGTGTGATACAAAGGGCGTGCGGCACGATTTCATAAAAGGTAATAAAATATACACTGGTCTTTATCGTGCATTGCATAGAGCCAGTTGTATGCACAGAACGCTTTCATTGAGTTTTGCTGAACGTTCATACCTCCCAGTATACAGTGTCACTGACGAAGAAGCCAACAAGAATGCTGGCTGATAGTTTCATGAAGTGAGCTAATAAGGAAAAAGTAATTCAATAAACAAATATTTCAGAGCTTTGCTTGCACATTAACAAGAGAGACCTCTTTGCTGAGTTGGATAACGGTTTTCAAATACTGGAAGAATATTTCCTAGTTTTTTGGTGCTATTCACAATGTAATGTCTACAGACAGGAGGCACTTTTAAGTTTAATCGACCTTAGCCATCTTTCTTCCATTGTTTTCTTTTTTTTTTTTAATTTTTTTATTGTTATGTTAATCACCATATATTACATCATTAGTTTTTGATGCAGTGTTCCATGATTCATTGTTTGTTCATAACACCCAGTGCACCATGCAAAACGTGCCCTCCTCAATACCCATCACCAGGCTAACCCATCCCCCCACCCCCCTACCCCTTCCATTGTTTTCTTCAGTCTAGAGTGAAACTCCACCGAGCAGTCAACCCAGCCCAAGTTTGAGCACTTGCCAATCTGTCTTTTTGGGGGATGGGAGTAAAGGGAGAGAGAGGGAGAGGGAGGGAATCCATGGAGCCTCAATGCGGGGCTTGATCTCATGACCCTGAGATCATGTCCTGAGCCGAAATCAAGAGTTGGAGGCTTAACCAATGGAGCCACCCCGGTGCCCCATTATTTGTCAATTTCTGAGGGGTAAATACTCCCTCTGTGTTTTAAAACTTGCAGAATTGGGAAGACTTTGTATATCATTACAAAAGACAGATACTATAGATGTAAATAACTTTTAGAATGTAGATAAGAGTAAATTGGCTCCCCCCCAAAAAATAGAAAGTGGTGAATGTTGAGTATATATTAGCTTTTTAAAATATAATTAATTTAATTTTTTTTATTTTCTTGCAAGTTTTTATAATTTCATTTTTCATGAATAATTTCTGTAAATTTAACAGTTGGCTCTCCTGGTATAGGCTAACTCCAGCTTACCACTGACACATGTGTCTTCCCCTGTTAGGTCGGCTTGGAAAGCCAAAAATTATGCAGAGTTTAATGACGTCTATGAACAGCACCTGTAATGTCACCTTGACATGCTCTGTGGAGAAAGAAGAAGAGAATGTCACATATAGTTGGAGCCCCCTGGGGGAAGCGGGGAATGTAATTCGAATCTTCCGGACCCCCGACAACCAAGAGCTGACTTACACGTGCACAGCCTGGAACCCCGTCAGCAACAGCTCAGACTCCATCTCTGCCCAGCAGCTCTGTGCAGGTGACCAGCTCCATCCATCTCTCCTGCAGTCTCCAGGACTCACTCAGAAGAGCGGCCCGAGCTGGGCCCTGTTCCCCATGGGGCGGCGGGGGGAGGCCAGGCCTGGTCCCCAGGGGCATCTCCTCCCAGGAGGGCGTGGAAAAAAGGCCAGAGCTTTCTGAGATAGGCCATGCTTCTGGGGTGTTCTGAGGCAGGCCCTGCTTGGCCCTCTGATTCTGTTTCCAGTGCTGACTTTGAATAGCAGAAAGCCCAGTTTCCCTTGGAGATTTGGCACTCCCCTGGAGGGCACCCCGTTTTGATAGTGCCCCTGAATGTGGCCAAGCCCCGCTGTCTCTTCTGTTTGCAGACACTGCGGCAGGCCTCCATTCTCGCCGCACCGGGCTGCTGAGCGGGCTGGTGGTGCTCCTTCTCTTTATACTCATTGTGCCTTCGGTACTTTTGTTCCTTTTGTGCAAAAGAGGACAAGGTAGGATTTTTCCAGAAGGTAAAATGTGGAAATGTACCTTCCTTCTTCCTGGGACTGAAGTCATTTATCCAAGGTGGGGCAGAGCGGTCCTTTGTTCCGGGGAAATCCTTCTTCCAATCCCCCTCCTCTACCTCAACATCTCCAGAGTGCTGGCCCCTGGATGACAGTGCCCTGAGTGGGCTCCAGAATCTGTTCCTGTTGTCATCAGTGTCTGGTGGGCCCAGAACCTGGGTGTGAGTTCAGTACTGCCATTGAGAAGCTGTGCTTCACTGGACATGTGTGTTTCCCTCTCTGGCTCAGTGCTCTCACGTGTGAAATGAGATTTGAACTAGAGGGTCTCCTGGGTCACTTCCAATTCCATCATATTTTGACTATGACCTTTGGAGAGTCACAGAGGGACATGTACTAACTTTGCATTCCATGCGCATCACTAGATCCCTCTGGATCCCTCTGGATCCTTCTGTAATTGTGCCATCTGCAAAGCAGAAAACCTAATCTTAGGCCCCCAGAGGAGCATTGTGCCCTCCTATACCTCCTAGCCCCATGATCTCCCCAAATCTTCCTTTCCCACCAACCACAGTAACAAGCCTGGGTATAGAGGGGCTAAACCTCTGTTTCCATGTTCCTGACTCTCCTTTGGGTCTGATTCCTCAGGTTCCTTCTTGAAGCCCTTCAGTAAGAACTCTGGTAAGTTCTCGGCCACCAGTTTTCCCGGATGACAACTGGGAGAGATGAGTTCACGGCAGATTGGTTAAGACTCAGCCTGTGCCTTGCAGGCAGTCTGGGCCAAAGGTCCCAGCTCGGCTGTTTATCAGTTACAAGGGATCTGTCACCGTAAGCCTATTTTGTCAGTGGTAAACCAGACATAGAGGATGCGCTGCACATACTTATTAGGGGGATTAAACGGAATTACCCACATAAAGTACTTGGCCTGGAGCCTGGTACAGAGTAAGGACTCAGTAAACGTCAGCACTGCGCTTGCGACTGACGGCCCAGGCTCGGCACAGGAGGAGTTAAATTCTCTTCCCTGGAGAATTTAACTCAAATGGCATTGTGATGGGGAGAAGTCCCATAACCTGACTCAGGCCAAAGGGGATCTTCAGGGTTCCTCCAAGAGACATCTGTCTTCAGTCCCTCACAGTCTCTTGGGAAGGAAGAAGTGCTACTTTTTCCATCTATCAATGAGATGACAGAGAGCACTCGGTCTGGCTTGCCTGCCGGGTCTCAGGCAGGGTCTGGGTCGGTCTGGCTCACCTGCCTGGTCTGGGACAGGGTCTGGGACAGGACTTAACTCTGTGTGCCGCTTAAGCTCACTGTGATTTGTGGATATGTTGGTGCCCTGAAACATGAAGGCCCCAAATTCTAGCCATCTCTTTTCAACCTCACCCTAAAATGTCCCACATTAGGAGCAAGGAGAGGAACACACTGGGATGGATGCCTTTACCACCCCAGGAGTTCTTAAGAGCAGGGACTTGTCTCTCCGGACTTGGCCTCTCCGGGCTCCCACACCACATGAAATCCCAAGAGGGAGAGGCAGTCCCAGGACCCGAGCATCCATCTCAAGATGATGATAGCCATTTGACCTTTTAGGGCTTCATTTCTTTACCTTAAAAAGAGAACCTTAGAAGAGGTCATCTCTAAAATCTCTCTGCCTCTCACGCACGGTGCTTCTATGTTTCTTTGTGACAGATGCCATCTCAAAGAAAACAATATACACCTACGTCATGGTTACAAGAGATGCCCCGCCGGCAGAGGGCAGAATCTACGATGAAATCCCCCAATCCAAGGTGAGCTGATGCCACTCATGGGTCCTCACCACCAGCCCCAGGAAAGGGAGTTGGGGCAGCAGGCCAGGGATCTGGAGGGTCCAACCAAGCATCGTCATGTCAGGGAAATGATGCTGTGAGCCCCCCGACGAGACAGGAACATGGCCGATGGTCACCCCGTGGCAGCCTCTAGGGGTGGAGGCCGCCAGCTTCCACACGGGGGTCTGGCTCTGGGTGAGGTGAGAGGCCTGACTAGGAGTGGAGTGCCCTCCACGAGGGACAAACAACAGGGGAGCCCCTGGTGTAAGGGGAGGGCTGCTAGGTGGCCACCGACGCGGGAACAGGAGGCTGAGGGGCCTCCAAGGGCACAGAATCGAGAGAGGTCCCCCCTTTTTAAAAGATTTTATTTCTTTATTTGAGTGAAAAAGAGAGCACGAGCAAGGGGAGAGGGAGAGGGAGAAGCAGACTCCCCGCTGAGCAGGGAAACCCCATATGGGACTCAATCCCAGGACCCTGGGATAATGACCTGAGCCGCAGGCAGACGCTTAACGGACTGAGCCACCCCAAGAGAGGTCCCCTTGAACTTCCTGGTGTGGCGGCGGCACACCCCCTCCTCCCACCTGCCTTTCACCTGCCTGCCCTGCCCTCACCTCCACCCTGAACCAGGCTTCCACAAGCACCGCCTCCCTCTGTGCCCCGCCCCCCGCCCGCATGCTCCCCCCGAGGTCGACAAGAGTGCTGGGCAACAGAGGTCTGCCTGGTCCGTCTAGCACTGTGCTTGGACTGATGGGCGGCTAGGGGCCCAGAGCCAAAATCTTCAGTGAGCAAGCCCCGGTCCGAACCATGCAAACCCCTCCTCTTGGCTCCTGAGGGTTTTACCCAATGGCTACCCACTCCTCCCGCCCCATACCCGGCCCTGACCCTCTCCGAGGCTGGGTGGAACCAGAGCTGAGGCCGGGAGAGGAGGCCATCTGGTGGGAGTGGGAGCAGGGGGGCAGCAGGCCGGGCAGAGGAAGGAAGGGGGCTTGGCGAGGTTTTGCCTGGGCTCCTCACTGAGGGCAAGATGGGTGTTTTACAGGCGCTCCCTGCCAAGGAGGAGCCGGTGAACAAGGTTTATTCCACATTGCAGACTGATAAGGTAAATCCTTTCTGACTTCTTATCCCTGTTGCCTGTGTGTTCCAACCATTCTGCTGTACCCTGTCCATCCAAGCAGGGGCCAGCTCTTGGCGCTCTTCTCTGTCCCTCTCAGGACTAACTGCTGAGGGCCGTGGCCCATGGGTGTTTCACACCTGCACAGAGCCCGGCTCCCAGGTCCATGGCCATCCAAAAGCTGGCCTGCTTGGGATGCTGGGCCTGCCTCTAAATGCAGGAGCCCCCAGGCCTCTGACCTGCTGTGTGGAAACTCCAGCCTCTAGAGCAGCTGGGGCCATGCCGGCTCACAGAATAAAACTAGACAACAGGTGCCCCCCTCTGGACAGAAACAGGCCCACACCAGGTGCCCAGACCGACAAGTAGAACACAGGCTGAATTTCAGTTCCCGTTTCCTCCACCAGCTGGCTTGTACAGGGTGCAGCCTGCACAACAATTTGCAACGGAGCAGTGACACTCACAGTACCCTGTGCCTCGGTGTCCTGCTCTGGAATATGCATAGACGGAAGGTCTATGTCACTGTCCATGAGGATCCTCATTTCTGCTACAGTCAGAAAGCCAGCTTTGGGGTCTCTTGGCAAATCAAATGTTTTGCCAGTGTTCCTGTTTAATAGCTGGGCAAAATCATCATGAAAGATAAATAGGGACCCAGGGAGTCTAGGGGGAAGGGAAAGTCGTGAGAACAAAAAACATTAGGAAATTCGCTGCAGATGGATGGGAAATGAGAAGTAAAAGCTGATTCGGTAGAGGGCATCTGTGAGCTGCAGATGCAGGAGACTTGCAAGAGAACTCAATGCACAGGTCGTTGGGGTGCGAAGCTAAGCCAGTGTCCTGGAGCCCGGGAAGAAAGGGCCTTCACTCCCTTAGTGCTCAGGAGAGGGAAGGAAGGAGAAGGAGACGAAGGGGCAACGGAGGGACGAAGGACAAGGGGAAGGGGAAGGAAGAAGTGAGGGGCAGGGGGCCGCATGTGTGAGCCGAGATCTGAAGGAAGGGGAGGGCACGGAGGTGACACTGGCAAGGACTGGATCAGAGGGATTAATCAGGGCGGCCGCGTTGAGGCATCTCAAAGTGCGTCCTCTAGACAAGGCCAATGGCAATTATTGATTGGTCATTATATAATTTAAGAAGAATTGTTTTTCCTATCCTGTTGGGTCCACTTTATTTGGGAGCAGGGTGTGGGGAGGGCTCTAGGTCTGTCCACATAACTAGAGCACGGGACGCCAGTGAAGGCAACTCGCCAGTATGTGAAGTGCCGTTATGGGGCTTCAGAAGGAGCTGAGGCTCAGCTAGGAACAAGGAAGGCAGGTAGCTTGAGCCTGGATGTTGCCCAAGCCTATAATCAAAATCAATGCTAATACCCCCATTCCGTCCTGCTGCTTTTTTCTGGGCTCTGCAGTTGATGACCCAAGGGCTTGCAAGCGGGTGACCAGAGCAGAGGCAAGGGACCCAGCAAAGGGCAAGGCCCTGCTGCCCCAGATTCCGCCAGCACCAGGGAGGCCTGAGGCATCTCCCTGTGCCGTCTGTCTGTCCCAGGCACCACCCAGGGCTGGGCTTCCCCAGCAGCATCTCTCAGTTAACCTGCAGTTCCAACTCCTTCTTGTGCACAGATGGGGAAAACCAGCTCTCAGGACGGCAAACCTCCTGGGATTTCAACCTATGAAAATGTGATCTAGGCTCATGGCCAGCATTCTCCCTGTGGACACTGAGCTTCAACAACCATCGATACCCAGGCAGATGCCCCGGACCCAGACTTTCTCTGCGTACGTCTTACCCGGAGATTGCAAACCATCACGCCCCAATCTGTGACTTTTTTGTGACTGGAGGTGATGAGCCTTCCCAGCAACCCCCTATGTAGACAGGATTGGTATTTTGCACACCTGTACCAGGCCATGGCACACCACTTAGGATGCTCTGATCATACTCAATGTCTGTGGGGAGCCCTGGGGCACGGCCTCCACAGTCCACACAGCACCTGAGACAAATTAGGCAAAAGCACCCTTCCCCCGAGGCAGATGCAGCCCCTCCCAAGCACGTGGCTTGATGAGTAGAGTGTGGGCTGCATTTCAGCCTCTATGTGCCCCTTTGCCCAGGAACCTTTGTGCAGGGGCGGCTGGCTGGCCCGGCCCGCCCATACATGATGGTGTCACACGGGAAGCCATGGGAGGTGTGGCTCTCGGCTGTGCAGACACACTCTCCAGATGGAGGGTTGGAAAATGCTCCTTCTGTAGGGACTAGACAGCTGCAGCATTTTTCTTCAGGCTCTACTTCAGAAGCCTCATAAGATTTTCTTTCTGGCCAAGCTTTCAACTTGACTGGGCCATTCATGGGGTGCCCAGACATTTGGTTAAACACGATTCTGGGGGGGATCTATGAGGGCATTTCTGGATGACATTAACATTCGGATTGGTAGATTGAGTAAAACAGATTAATCCCCACTCCAGTACGGGTACATATCACCAGATCCATCAAGAGCCTGAATAGAAGAAGAAGACAGAGTAAGGGAGAATTAATTCTCTCTGCCTGGCCATCTTAGAGCTGGGATATCAGTCCTCCTGCCTTAGGACTTGGACTTGGACTGGAACTTACACCATCAGCTCTCCTGGTTCTCAGGCCTTTGGACTTATGCTGGAGAACTACACCATCAGCGGTCCAGCTGCAGACCTTGGGATTTCTCAGTCTTCATAAGCACACAAGCCAGCTCCTTGTTATATCTGTTTCCTGTTGGTTCCATTTCTCTGAAGAACCAGACTAATACCTATTCCAAGCAGCCTCGGCAAGAAGAAGAGACCGTACTCAGTACCCCATTCACCAAAAGGACTTGACCAGCTATATTTCTGACACTTTAGGGGGGCTGAGTACAACCCAACCATCGAAACAAGAGACCTTAAAAGAAGCGGGTCATTCTTCAGAGGGAACTTGGCAGATGATGGTGTAGATGATGAAACTGGCTTCACTTCACCTCTGTTACTAAGGTTCAGTCCAGAGAGTCACTGCTTCATGCTTTGGTTCGATGCCCCTGAGCCCCCGCCACCAGTGCTGAGAAGGAATCACCCATGGCTGAGCAGAACATTCAAGTGATCGTATGAAGAACCGTTTCCCTTATGTGTGAGCACCCATAACCAGCTAAATCCTAAATCCCCATGAACAATCCCAGGCTGGGCAGCAGAAGTGAGCTGCATTTAGGCAGAAGGAAGGTGTTAGTCTCAGTGAATGGTTCCATTGAACCATCTAGCCCCGACCACCATTAGCACTGTGTTGGGGGATGCAAGACCTCCAAAGTATCAGATGAGCGTAATGTCTGCCCTGGTCTAGCTGCCCCGTGCAAGGCAAGCGCGGACACTATAGTTAAATGCTGAATTACACGTTTTGGGGAGTGGCAGGAGCTAGTACAGTCAGGGAAGTCTTCATGAAGGAGGTGGAGCTGAAGCTGGGCTCTGGAGGAAGGGTAGGATCTGGCTGAGAATGGAGAAGACAGATGGCATCCAACTGAGGAAGGCACAAGAAAGAAGCAGAGGCTGAGTCGGCATGATGTGTTTTGGGCACCACCCCAGAGGCACTGAGCACGTTCACAGTCCCTTGCCTATGATGGCAGAGTGCCTCTGCTTTGGTGTGCCGCCCAACCCCCAGCCCTTTCCACACACATGAACGCTCAGCTCAAATGTCACCTCCTCTGTGAAGCTCTCCCTGGCATCACTGGTCAAATTAATTATGGCTCTTTTTGCCCTCTCCCCCCCCCTTAGTCCTTATATCACTGCAACTCATTTTTTTCTGCTTCACGGTATAGATCATTATTTGTTTCCCTCCACACTGTACATACTGAAGGGCAAGATCCATGACTTCATGACCATGGAGAGTGATCACGAGCGATGAAAGTTTTAGTCCCCTGTGCGTCCACCACCAGCCAACGTTTTGCCTTGTACCCTGCCTGTGAGCAATAAATGCTATTGAATAGAATTGAAAATGACCAGCCAGCTCAAATAGAAAGTACACGTTGCAAGTATGGATAGAAGCCAACAAGCATAGTGGAATCCAATTATGGCAAGTGTTAAATGTCAGAATGCAGACGTCAGTGTAAGGACGTTTTGGAGGGAAAAGACTCTCAGAGTTAGACCAGCGAAGACGTCACCTGAAGCCATGAACCAGGGGTGAGCGAAAGGCAGTCACTCCAGGGAGGGAAGGAAGAAATAAGGAGACTTGTCATAAGGATGGAGAAGTTCCAAAGGGGACACCGAACAGGCTGGATTTCCCCTAAAATAAAAGCATGCCTCGCCTTTGTGTGAGCTGAGGGACCGCTGCTGAACATGGTCCTTCTCTAAACTGTCCTTGCTTCACCCTGGTGCGTTCACCCAGTGACATTGCTAGTGTCCTACAGCCCCAGTGGCAAGTAGGGGAGAGGAACAGAAGGAGAGGCCAGAGTTCCTTGGGTCTTCCGGGAGAACAAGCCTGGGAAGGAACTAGTACCCAGGAATTCTTCATGTGGCCTTTGGGATTTGGGACCACTGAGCTCCGGTCTCTCACTTTCTTTTCTCTGACTCTTCTGATTTATGAAGATATAAGCTACTCACCCCGTCCCTAAGGGCTTGGTTCTCAGCTTCTCCTTCTGTAAAATGGGTGTGATCCCATGTATCACACTAAGATGGGCCAGTTTTTACGAAGGTGCATTGAAATTGGAACCTTGGGCGCAGGGCCCTCTAGTGGCAAGTGCCGGTAAGGCAGCACAAGCCAGGCACCTGCGGGTCCACATGGGCTTTCGGCAGAGAACAGAGAACAGGAGAAACAGCGCAGCGAATGCCTCTCAGAAAAAGAAAGTGAAGCCGATTTAAAATGTGATGCTTTTAAAAAAGTTATAGAATGCTCTAAACTGCACAGCCCACAAGAGAGGAGCTTGGCTGGGCCACTTTGGAAACCCAGCAAAGAAAGGAAGGAGCCTGATTGGTCTGGTGATTCTTTTTTCCTCTTTTTTTTTTAAGATTTTATTTATTTGAGAGAGAGAGTGAGAAAAAGCGCGCGCGCACAAGCGGGGGGAGGGGCAGAGAGCGAGGGACAAGCTCCGCCTACTGAGCCCCACGCGGGGCTCAATCCCTGGACCCCGCGATCATGACCTGAGTGGAAGGCAGAAGCTTAACCCACTGAGCCACCCAGGCGCCCCTGGCCTGGTGTTTTGTAGGTTCAGCCTGGAGAAAAGAAGTGGCTGGGCCATATTTTCTTCCAGATCTATTACTTTTCTTCTACTTGACCTTTCCCGGGTGCGAGTAACTTTCTCAAGAACCCTTAGAGACAGTTTCTACTGGCTGTAAAATGAAGTTTGGAGGAGAAGGCAGAAGGCAGAAGGGTACTGAGTGGTCCCAAACGCAGGCTTCGATGCTGGAGTGCCTGGGTCTGAATCCTGGTTCCTTCGTTCTGTGACCTCAGGCAAGTTAGGTTCACCTTACAGTGCCTCGGTGTTCCCACCTGCAAAATGGGGACAGTAATAGCTCCTGCTGTGTAGAGTTAGTACGAGGCAGCACTGTCAGAATATGCCTATAAGCTGATCTTACAGGCTTGAACCTTCATCAGGTGCTGAGCCTGTATCAGGTTCTTGCAGCACAAATGTAGCTGATATTGTGCTCAATTAGTGTTTAGTTAAGTGAACTTAACTCCCAGTCCTCCTACACCGATGCTTGTTCCTCCTGTCATTTCACTTACCATGCTACCCCCCCTGCATCGGCTCCCCAGCCAGACGGAGAGAACAAGGGCTGGTCTGAATAATAATAATGCCAACAGAGACCTCCTGAGGGCAGGGAGACTGTAAGAGTTAATTAACGGTTTCCTTTGTATACCAATTGCTATACTAGATGCTTTTTACAACTCACAACAACAACAATTCTTCCAGCTTATGTTAAGACTGAGGGAATAAATACCTGGCAAAATCAGGCAGCTGGGGAACACAGGACTTGAATTCAAGACTTCTTGTCACAAAGAGCCACATACTTGCACCTGACCATGCACTTGAGCCTTCCTATACCTGGCTCTGGACTCCCAGCACCGGGCACTTTTCTTGACACTTCATAGGTGGACCACAAATATTTGTTGAATGAATATGTATGTATAATAATATTTTAAAGACACCAAGAGCAGCTCCAAGTAAATGTATTCATATATTAATTCCGTTGTTGTCTGGATAACCACTCAACTCTTCTACTAGAAACACCCATTAAGAATCTTGAGTAGAGCTCACTGTCTGCATTTTGGGCAGAGCTGGTTTCACAGCCAATAAGGGATCTAGGTCATAAACACTGCTGATGAGTTGTTATGAGAGAAAAACTGTGCAAATTTCCACTATTAATATCAGAAGAATAACGAAAACAGAAGGAGAGGTAAGAATTTATGAGTTGTGCAACACTATTTAAAAGTTTAGAAAAAGCTGAACCTTTAAGTTTTGATGACCCACCATACTCATAATAGCTAACATTTATTGGAGCCTACTATGCACCGTTCCCCACCCGAAGGTTTTATATGTACTAACTCATCTAAAGCCCACATAGGAAACATTAAAATTCATCTAATCCCTGAAGATGCAATCCTCCTTCACTTTACAAATTAAGAAACTGAGTCACAGAAAGACTCAGCAACTAGTCCAAGATACTATGGAAACCAGGACTCCACTGCTGGCCTCCCAGGTCCAGGGGCTGGGCACCGAGCCACTGTTCTCAGTGCCTCCCCTACCCACAGCTTCCCAAGGCAGGAAACTTGTATTCTTGACTCCAGATGCCCTACGTCTAAGCAGTCACTAGGTCTTGTCAAGTCCAACTCAACCATGTCCCCTCAATCTGCCTAGCCTCCCTCCCGGTGTCCGTTCTCCCAGGTCATTCCTTTATCACATGTGACCTGGGCTGTTATCACATAAAGAGCAATCTTTCCAAAATGCTCACCTTATCGCTTTATTTTTCTACTGAGAAATTTTTCCTGTGGGACCAGACTCCTGAGCAATTTGACCCATCAGACTGTCCGGGCCTTTCTCCTGCTTCCTCCCTAAGCTGCAGTCACACAGAAGTACGTGGGTTCAAGAACCCACCAAATCCTTTCCTGCTCTATGTCTTTGCCCACGCTGTGTCCTGTGCCTGGAAAACCTTCTCTCCTTTCCATCTCTAGCTATTTTATACTCAAGGACCAAACCAAGGATCCCTCTTTGTGTAGAACTCTGAACCCCCCCAACTCAAAGCTAAATATATAGCTCGCTTGTAAATTTCCATTAATAAAGTATTTATTGCCCATAAATTTTACCTCCTAAGTGCCTAAGAAATGAGACTACAGGCTCCATTTCAGCAGGTAAACACAAACTATTCGATAATGCACCTATTTTTGTGTGTGTCTTACTTTGTTTTTGTTTTTCAAGAAAAGAGACCAAGCAAGTAGCAAAGAAACAGCAAAGACTCTCCAACATGACAAAGGGCCTGTGCCGTCTGAAGCCTCAGGCCCTGAGTAGCCAGAAAGGGACTGTGGGGTTGAGGGCAGTAAGACAGAAATTGAGGACGAGGAAGTCTACTGTGAGAGAGATGACCAGGACCCCGAGAGAGGATGGAAAGCTAGCCACTGGGAGGGCCAACGCCAGAAGCAAGAAACCAGAGTGCAGCACAGGCACGTGGCTGGAGGAAGGGAAGGCAACTCTGCCTCCATCATCCTAAAGATAGGAAACTGGGCACTTAAGTCACACCTCCCTCCAGGACAAGAGCTTTGCTTTATTCATCTTGTTGTTCACTGCAACCATGATAGAAGCTAGTGCCTAGCAGAGCTCCATAAACATATGAATAAATATTTGTTGAACCAAACTCAGATTGGGACCCAGACACTGGGATTCTCCTTTTCAGAGTCTGGGTCTAGGGAATGGAGAGCAGAGGTTGTGTGGGTCGCTCACGGTGCCACTTGGAGAAAGCCCTGGGCTTTTCAGTGAGAAGAATGCGCTGTGGTTCCCTCACAACTGTTGGTGCAGGACCTCAGGATGTTTTGTAAAACCCTGAAGGAGAATGGACTTGCTAAGAGGTGGTGTGTGAGATTTCAAATGGAAGCTTCTAGATCTGAAAACACCTCCATAACTCCCCGCTGATCAGAGAAGCTCCAGATCCTCTGCTCTGAGCAGCTCTTTGCAGATGTGCTTGGGCTCCCAGCTACCCCAGCTACATCTCCACATCCCTTTCTTGTTGGGCTGAAATTAAGCTGCTACCCTGAAGAACTTCAGAGTCCCTTTGTAGAAACTCTGTAAGCAGATACAGAACTACTTGAGAAGATTTTTTTAAAAAATTGGTGGCGTTTTCCCAGTGCCCTGAGGTTCTGGCACATTTCATTTATTTTAGCCTTATGCGTTAGCCCTAGGACCCTTTCTCTACCTCTCCTCCTTCCCCTCACCACCTCCAAATCCAACGCCCCCTACCACTCATCCCTCAATGCTCAGTGCAAACGCCCCTTCCTGGGAGCAACTTTCCCTGCTCCTGCAGACCATGTTTGATGCCCACACTTTGTTCTCATTGTACTACATGTCTTTCCTTCACAGAAGATTTCAAACTTTGTCTTTAAATATTTCTCCTTGTGATTATTTAGTTAATGTCTCTCTTTCCTCACTAGACTGTGAGCTCCATCAGGGCACAGACCATGGCCGGTTTTGCTCACCATTTGTACCCACAGTACCTGACCCTGTGCAAGTTGGAGAGGAAGTTTTCAATGTTATCATATTTTGATTAACTAATGAAGATGTAGCAGTTTGTGCAGGCTTCACCTGCCTTACCTGGAACGTGAGAATCCTTTGGTCCATGTCTCAATGACAAAGCTATTTATTCCTAAGCAGTAAGACCCTTAATAAGTCTCTAACCTTTGGGTAGAAATGCAGTAGAAAATGCACCATCGAATGTACTTCCTGTGCAGGAAACATAGTTAAGGGTCAGAAAACATAGAAAAGAACTAACATTATAGGGCTAAGACTGTTATCCTTGGAAAGGCATGCTCACAAGGTTGTCCTGGGCTGGTGTCTGGGAAGTTGGATTTGGGGAGTTTAACCACACCCTGATAAGAGTGGTTCACTGAGCTTAAACTATTTGTACAATTTGGTTTGTGCTAAACACCTGATTTCCTTCTGGGGTTCTGAAATTTTGGTATGTGCTAGGCAGACAGTGCTTCCATTTCTGACAGTTGAAAAAAAAAACCCTGGAATTCTGGGCTGAGGCAGGCTTCCAGGTGGACAACATTTCACACATGTTGGCACAATACGTTGCTAGAAGAATTAAGAATGGTCCTGTGTGACTCCACTGGGATAAGACTCTTGGAAGCTTCACCAGGTTTCTTCTGGACACAACTCCAGGTACCATTCCCTTTGCTGATCTTGCTTTGATCTATTTCCTGTAATAAGTCGTAGCCATGAGTAGGACTATATGCCAAATCCTGTAAGTCCTCCTAGTGAATCATTGAACATGGAAGTAGCCTTGAAAACCCCTAACACACCTCCTAAATGTTTTTGCAGTCTATCTGACTTCTCCCCTTTCATCTGCCAATAGCTGCTGCAGTCATGGCCCCCACCACCTCTTCCTGGACAACAGCAGCTTCCCTCCCACATCCACACTCATCCTGGTCCAATCCATTCTCTATACCACAGCCAGAGTGGTCTTTCCAAACACAAATGTGATCCTGGTGGCAGGAGGAACCAATGGATTGCTGGTGTACCTTTATATCTGTAGTGGTTCACAAGCTGAAAGTTTATAAGTAGAAGAACTTCTTTAACCAGAGAAAAATTGGAAACAATATTCAGTAATCTAATTCCCATAAATGTGCCAAGGCTAGGTGGTCTCATGAACTAGTTCTATCATAGTCAGTGAAAGGATAATTCCCATGTAATTTTAACTGTTCCAAAGCATAGAAACTTCAAAGTTCATTGAGCACTATTAATATAACACTGATTCCAAACTAGATGAGGATGATTCTCCAACAAGAAAAATATAGGGATCAGCAAACAACAGCCTGTGTACAAATCCAGCCTGCCAAGTGTTTTTATATAACCTGTGGGCTAAGAATAGTCTTTACAATTTCCAAAGGTTGAAAAAAACTTGAAAGAATAATATTGGTAACATGTGAAAATTATATGGAATTCAAATTTCAGTGTTCCTAAATAAAGTTTTATTGGAACACACACAACAGTCATCTGTTTGTGTATTGACAATGGCTGCTTTCATTCTACAACAGCCAAGTTGAATAGCTGCAGTGAAGAATGTATCGTTGCACAGTGTAAAATATTCACTATCTTGACTTTTACAGGAAAAAAGTTGTCAACTCCTGATAATCTCACTTATACATATAAATATTAAGATCTTAATTTAAAAAATAAGAAGAAAAAATCTTAATTTAAATTTTAGTAAATGAACCAAGCAATGCATGAAAAGAAAAAAAAAATACAACAAGTAGGGTTTATCCCCAGAATGCAAAGATGATTTATCTTTAAGAAATCTTCTATTGCAATTTATTATTTAAACACATTAAAGAGGAGGGAAAAAAACCATAATCATCTTGACTGATGCCAAAAAATGTATTTGATAAAATTCAACAACCACAACTGATTAGGAAAAAAATTAGCAAATAGAATAAAAATAGAAGACGTTTCAGTCAATGCCCAATCAGAAAAATTGAAACCATGTTAAATATACAAACCCCACAAATTGAACATAAGAATTGAATACAAAAGTGATGGAAGGGTTTGAGGAGTGAAACAGGGAAGATGAGGTTATTGACCAAGTCCGGGAAGGTGTTACCACTCTTGGGGGAATTTGCCTTTGGAACTAGTGCTGTCCCATCACAGGATGCCAGGAGTCCGTACTCCAACCAAAGCCACAAGAATCTGGGAGCCTAAGTTGCCCCGCCACGGTGGCTGCCATCATTGGAGCCAGAGCCCAGAAATACCACACTGCCAAGACTTCTGGAATGACTGCTGGAACTGCATTGCTAGACCAAGAACCCTGGGACTGCATTCATTTCCCACTATTGCTGCCACTGCTGGGGACATGATCAGAAGCCAAGATGGAAAAAACATTTCTCCCTTCTTCCCACTTTCCAGTGTTTCACCAGTACCACCCATTGATAAAAGTATAGAATAATATCTCTCATGAATGTTGATGCAAAAATCCTCAACAAAATACCAACAAACCAAATTCAGTAGCACATTAAAATGATTATATATCATGACCAAGTTGGATTTATTCCTGGAGGGCAAGGATAGTTCAACATAAAAAAAAACAATGACTGCAATAGAACAATTAATAGAATGAAAGGGGGAAAAAAACCACATGATCATCTCATTTGATGCAGAACAAACATTTGACAACATTCAACACCCTTTTCATGATTAAAAACAGTTAACAAATTAGGAATACAAGGAAATTACTTCCACATAATAAAAACCATGTATTAGTTTGCCAAAGCCTCCCATAACAAAGTACCACAGGCTGGATGGTTTAAACAACAGAAATGTATTTTCTCACAGTCCCAGAGGCTAGAAGTCTGCAATTAAGATGTCAGCAAGATCAGTTTATTGTGAGGCCTCTCTCTCTGGCTTATAGATGGTTTTCTTCTCCCTGTGTCTTCATATATCTTCTCTCTGTGCATGTCTATGTTCTGATCTCTTCTTTTTATAAAAACATCAACCTTATTGAATTAGGGTCCACCCATACGATCTTATTTTAACTTAATTACCTCTTTGAACACCTTATCTCCAAATACAGTCACGTTCTGAAGTACTGGGAGTTAGGACTTCAACATGTGGGTTTTGGCAGGACACAGTTCAGCCTATAACATTCTGCCTTCTGCATCCCCCAAATATGTCCTTTTAACGAGTAAAATGTGTTCACTCCATCCCAACAGCCCCAAAGTCTTAACCCATTTCAGTATCAACTCTCAGTCCAAAATCTCATCTAAATATCATCTAAGTCAGGTATGTGGGAATCTCAAGGTAGGACTTATCCTGAGGGAAAATTTAACTCCAGTTGTGAATCTGTAAAACCAGACAAGTTATATGCTTCCCCAATATAATGGTGAGACAAACAAAGGATAGACATGCCCACTCCAAAGGGAGAAATAGAAAAAAGGAAAGGAATCACATTTGTTTTGTTTTTTTAGAGTCCATATACAAGTGAAATCATATGGAATTTGTCTTTCTCTAACTTACTTCAGTTAGCATAATGCCCTCAAGGACCAACCATGTTGCTATGATTTCCCTTATATGTGGAATCTAAAACAAAACAAAACACACAATCAAATTATGACAACAACAATCAAATTATGACAATAACCCAAAAAACCCCAAGCTCATGGATAGAGATAACAAATTAGTGGTTGTCAGAGGGGAGGGGGGCATGAGGAGAGGGTGAAGTGGGTGAAGAGTTTCAAAAGATAAAAAATTTCCATTATAAAATAAATAAGTCATGGAGATGTAATGTATGTTATGAAAACTATAGTTAATCATATGTATTGCATATTTGAAAGTTGCTAAGAATAAATCTTAAAAGTTCTCAACACAAAAGAAATTGTAACTATGTATAGTGACCAATGATAACTAGACTTATTGTGGTGATTATTTCCCATTGTATACAAATAGAGAATCATGTTGCACACCTGAAACTAATATAACTACGTCAATTATACGTCAGTAAAAAAAAGGAAAGGGGTCACAGTTCCCAAGCAAGTCCAAAATCTAGCTGGGCAGATTCTATTAGATTTTAAATGTCTAATCCTCTTTGGCTCCACGCTCTGTTTGGTGGATCCACCTGGGTGGCTCTGCCTTCTGGGACCACCAGGTTCATCCTCTCCACCTCCAGCAGTGGCCCCACCCCTCTATAACCAAAAGCAGCCCTGACCCCTGAACTGTGCCTTAGGGCCCATAGTGGCAGTGTCAGCCCTGGCTTTTTTCTCATTTCTGGAATGATAATACATGTTTGCAGCTGGATAACTTTATTGGTCTATCCTGTAGAATTCCAGAAATCCCATGGCCTTCCTTAATCTAGTCCTGTCTCTGTCTCCTTCAGTCCAAGTTGACAGCCTTTCTGCTGGTATAAAATTCCCAAAAGCCTTGTTGGTCTCCCATGCAATTCACAGAGGCCCGCACCATCAGACAACAGGTCCTCCCCAGATTGTTCCTGGATAACCCCATCTCTATCCCTCGCTTCCCCTGAAATGATTAATTGTATCCATAAGTCACACACCTGTAATTCAGCCCCATGATAGGCCATATATGAAAAACTCACAGCTAATATCATACTAAAAGGGGAAAGAATAAAAGCTTTCCCCCTAAGATAAGAAGACAAGGATGCTGGTTTTTACCATTTCTACTCAACATAGTATTTGAAGTTCTAGCCAGAGCAATTAGGCAAGAAAAAGAAATAAAAGGCATCCAAATTGGAAAAGAAGTAAAATGATCTCTGTTCATAGATGACATGATCTAATATATAGAAAACCCTAAAGATTACACACACACACAAAAACCTATTAAAACTAATAAATGAGTTAAGCAAAGTAGCAATATGCAAAATGAACACACAAAACACA